AGCCTTAAAATGTATGCCAATAAACATAAGGTACCTCTTTTTTATATAACTTGCTTTGAGAGTTTTTGAGGCACTGTTAAATAATTTGAAGGTGCTTTTAATACTACACCCGAAATAAAATTGGCAGTAGTTACGGAGGTAATTTGCATAGCCAAAATTTCAAAGAACCTAAAAATCAGTTGTGCGCTTGCCCAGCGCTTTTTTATCTTATGAGAATCGCATAGTAAGGCGATATTTAATGAAATGCTTTCTTTTACCCTGCATAGAACACCTGCAATAACACTTGTTTTGTGCAAATGTATGTAAAAGCAAAAGGAGACTTGTCCAACCCGATAAAGTCTATATATTCTTGATCAGACCGACGGATGAATTAATTAATCCATGTCCTTCTGTATGAACGACAAAAGATAGAACCCTGCAATATAACTAAACAAATACACACCCAATATAACAGACATACATAAATACACACATGCAAACGAAGATAAGTACTTACTACTGAAAAAGTAATGTTAATTTTGTAAATTTGCCTGGAATAGAAATAGAAATTAATATAATTATAATCATGCATATGTTTTAGTTCCAGTTAAGGAGTTACTTTTGGTTGATAAATAAACATTTAGATACAACTTTACTTAAACAATATTAAGCTCCAATCAGAGAGAAGCTAAGCTTAACGAATATGCATTTAAATCGTTTTAGATTTTACTAAGAATTGGAAACATATGCGCAAGTTCGAAGTACAATTTTATTGTGAATAGCTGAAAGCAATGCCAATTTCATGAGGAACAGCAAAAAATTTGATAAGACCCAAAACTTGGTAATAATAGCCAAATCATTGAGCTGCCTCACACACACAAATACGACATACCCAAAGGGTGTGTATGTGTGTGTGTTAAAATTAAATAAAATAAAATTAAATGTATATAAAATTAGGTTAATGTTTGGCAGCAGCAGCAAAAGCAAAAGAAGCGAGAAAAAAAGCACGACAGCGGCCCCTTTTATTTTATTGTTATGTAGATGAGGCAACGGCAGCGAGAGAAAGCTGCGACAATGTCCTGCAGAATGAACGCACTTGCCACACGCTGCCAGCCACATACGTAACACACACCCCCCCCCCCCTCACACACCCCTCTCCATCTTGCTGCGTGCGTCCAAAAACATGCGACTTAAACAGGACTTATGGTTATCTGCGCATTTTATGGATATTGCGCTCAACTGGCAAAGCGTTTCGGCCTGCTCTTCAATGTGGCACACACCATGCACCCTGCCACACTCACACACACACGCACACACGCACACTCTGTGGCAGGCACAAAATAAATGAAGTTACTTGCCAGCGATATGTTTGCTAAATGTTCTATGTAAATGTTAAGAAAGCACTTTAATTTCCCAGCCTGTGGCAAGGACATTAACTTAATGGCGCAACTGAATGAAAGTGAAAAGAATCACAGATACCCTAACCAGAACAACCCCCCTACCCGCTGCCTGCCAAGCACACAACTCGAGGCATTGTTTGAGTTGAGCGAAAACCAATTAAAAGCGCATAAAATGCCGCGACAAAGTCAAATTATGAACTGCAACTGTGCAATGCAACAAAATGTATCCGAAAATAGTTGCAGCAGCGCGAGTTAAGCCCAGTTAAGCCCATGTGCATGCTACATGCTGCATGCTGCATGCTGCATGTTGCACGTTGCGTATGCAACATAGAAACTAAAAACTGCTCCAGCGCCGACAACGTCGCGCCATTTGTCGCTCGAGCTAAGCCCACTTAAGCCCTAAAAAACAGCAGCAGCAGTCCCAGCATACCCAGCACTCGCAGTCGAGCGGCTGTTCGATTTGACTTATGGGTTCATTTGCTTAACTGTCAGTCGAGGCGGCCTCTATTTATAGCTGGCCAGTTGAGGCGGGCATCTGTCTAATATAATCTATGGAAAACTGCGCCACAGCAAGCAGCAACAATTGCACTTGAAGTTGCTGCCGCTGCCGCTGCTGCTGCTGCTGGCAGGTTGTGCCACAAGCTGCAGTCAAATTCTTATTCTTATTTGCCGTGGAAAGTATTAGCTGGCCCTGCCACTTAATTGACAGCAATTTCACGCGCTGGCAGGCAACGCGTGTCGCTCAATTGTTTCAACCAAAATATGATCAACAAAAATATATTTCTTTTTTTTTTCAATTTTGGTCCACAATTGAGGCATGACGGCGAGCAAATTGCCTCGTGAGCTGCCTCATTACGTCACTGAGTTGTTGCCGCGCTGCATGCAACGTAATTAGATGTGAAAATGTGGATGTGGCTGCCCCGTGCTCCAGCTCCAGGCATGGGATTAAGGAGCTGCCAAACAGAGGCAGCTGAAGCGATGCGCGCATATTCAAATTCTCTCGGGGTAGCTCTTCTATTTGTTTGTCATAGAGCACGCTTCAAGTACAAATAAATATTATGCTAGAGGTAGGACAAATGATATTCTGCGCTTGGAACTACGCCTGAGTGAAGTGCCATGTAAGCTGAGCGTATCAAAGAGACAAGAAGTCTTTACAGCAGCTGTCAACAAAGGTTTCAACTAGGATTCTAGTTGCTGTTTAGTTAGGAGCTATGGGAAGCACTCAATATACATGATATGTGTGAGAAAAACAAAAGCGAGTAAGACGCTATAAAATTAAAGATACCTGATATACATTTACTATTCTAGAAGCTACATGTCAAATTTGGACTCTAGCTCTTAAAACGTAAGAAATTTGCTCAAAAAACCGAATCGATAATTCAATTGATATCGATTTTTATCGATTGCTTGAACACGGGGCAAGCTATCGATTATCGGAAACAAACTCGTACTGCGCGCGCACTAGGAGGACCTACGTTCAAAATTTCTCTAATTGGTTCTTAGATCCTCGCGTTCATAAATACGGACGGGCAGACAGGCAGAAGGGTATGGCTAGATCGAGTCGGCTATGGATCCTGACCCAGAAAATATATATTTTTTACATGGTTTGTACATTTTCAATGGCATCAGGGTATAAAAATAGTTGTTATCAAACTTACGTTCACATATATAAATATATACTTTTATACATATGAATTTATACAGACATACATAAATTCATATGCACATACACAAATACATACTTAACTACATACATTCATATATATGTACATACATACATCCATACATGCATACATACATATATTCATATATAAATACATACATACATATAGCCCCCGGCCTTGACGTTTTTGGCGATTTTTCACACTTGCGGGTAGAATTTCCAAGTTCCTAGCTTCTTCGCGTTAATCACCAATCGTCAGGTCAGTCAGGTCAATTTGTTTTATATATAGAAATTAAAGAAAATGATAAGTTTTCAAATTTGAATAATGTTAAACAAGAGTTGTGCACAAAATAATTATTTATCATCTATTGACTCTCATTTCACGAAAACGTTCAAAAGTCGGATGAAATCTTCTATTATTTTCCATCTTATAACAGGACATTATTCGTCTGGTGAACTCGTACAGTCCGCACTTTAGGCCCTTATAATACAATCTTACCAAAAGAAAAATGCACTATTTTTATTTATTTTTTTCTAACCCATCTGAAAAATGTTTGTATTTTCTTTGTACACACTTCTCAAAAATCTGTCGCGTAAAGTATAAACAGAATTTTATGTAACGAGAAAAAAATGTAAGTAAGCTACATATTGATAAATTCTTTAATAACCAACCATTTTCTTGAAACCAAAAACTCTTGAAAACTTTAGCGAAAATCTCAAGTGCCAGCCATTAAAATAGCATTCGGTTCGCCATTTTGTTGCTGCTGTTGGAGTTGTTGTTGTTGTTGTTTCTGCTGCTGTTGCTATGAACAATAACAGAACGCCAACCCCCAACATTGTGCGTACCCCGACCCGCACACCGCCCCCGCCTCCAGCCTAACTACCAGCCAAAAAACACACCCACACACCCCTTTAATTATGATTCAGTGCACACAAACTTTTGTTGCGTGCCTGGCGCTTTGTGCTTTGTTGTCCTTGTTGTTGTTGTTGTTGCTGTTGTTGCTGTGGATGTCCTTTTGTGCTAACTTTTCAATTCCTAATTATAATTAGAGAATCGGTTGTGTTCATAAATATTAAAAAGGGTCGCTCCTACTACAGGGCGCCCACAGTGCTTCACTTGTCTTTTGTTGTTGTTGCTGTTGTTGCTGTTGTTGTTCATGTTGTTGCTCAACTGCTGGCAGCGACATTCCATGAATAATTAACTCAAGTCTTTGTGGAGTAACCCCGCTTTGCTGTCTACCCCACCAACTGGGCGCCCATTCGCCAGTCGCCATCTTGTTTGTCAACAACAACAAAAACAAGAACGTTGCGCGGTGCTTCACAAGACGTGCGGCGGCGACTTGTCATGAATTTACTTATGAATATTTGAATTTTTAATGTAATTTGTGCGATGCGCTGCCCATCGATTGGCCCAAAGTGTTCATTATGAACAGCAACTATGCCTAGGATAGGGTAAAAGTTCTATTTTTATTATTTTCTCGCGAGTCAAAGGCTATTTAACATAATTTAACGTCAAATTTTTAAAAACAAGCCCAAGACCAATTACTGTGCTAATCGCGAGCAGAAGACCTAGCGGATACACACACCTAGAGACCTAGCGAATACACACACCATCTGATTTAGACAAGCGAAGTTTCGAGTATTACAGTCAAGACACATATCTAATTAGGGATGTGCAAACACCTAGCCTAGCAAATACAAGAACCTTCGTCCAATAATAGTAGGAACATAAACCTAAGAAACACTGTAGAAATCAAACTGCACGAAACTTAATGGATTAGCATTGGTTGACGACTTGGATACAAAATGATACAGAAAAAATAAAGCCTGCGCCCGACGTGTTTGAATACCCGTAAATGTCAGAAAATAAATCACGGACTCATAAGCTGCAATCGGGAAAGCATAAAAGTGTTGTAGGGTTTATCTCACACATTTATACACTTTTCACCAATTATTTGTAGCTTTTTTGTACTTTAATATATTTGCATTAATAAATTGTAAGTGTACATAAAATAGTTTCAACCAGATTCACGTTTCTTCATGGCCATTAATAAAAAACCAGCTTCACAGTTCACTCGATTATTGTAGTAAGTACACTAACTGGAAACCCTAATTACACACACGTATTAGTCTATGTGTATATGCCTGTGTGTGTGTGTGTATGTGTGTGTGTGTGTAAGTGTATAAATTAACAATATATCTCTCAACAGCTACAACTAAATATTAGTTAAAACTTAGTGCATCTAGACTATTTACAATGGACATTACCAGTCCGCAGAGCCGTAGCTCAGGATAGAACCGGGCCAGCGCTGCAGCCATTGTTGAGACGGTACTCGGCATAGACGAGGCCCGTGTTGTGCCAGTGGTAAAAGGCGGCCACAATGATCAGATGCCACCAGTTGTGCGAGTGGCCGACAAAGTCCACTTTGCCGGTGAGCCAACGCTCGGGTATTTTGGCGGCATAGAACACAAAGGCCACCAGGCAGAGCAGATACATGATCACAATCCGTGGCACCATCAGGCCGACCAGCTCGTTCTCCAGCCCGCCCATGGCCACCGCCCAGTGGCCCAGAGGCAGAATGCCGTAGGCGGACCACAGCAGGAGCACAGCCACCTTGCCATTCATGGACACATTCAGCTGGGGTATTTGCACGGCAATGGCCAGGCCAAACATGCCCAGCGCAATGGTCGAGTATATTGTGCGCAGAAACTAAAGAAGAATATATTTAGTTGAGATCTATAATTATGAACGGGTAACTACATACCGTATGGCACCAGAAGGCATAGTACATGCCACTTATGTAGATGGCCACCAGCGAGAGGGATATGCCCAGAAAATCCACAGATAGAAAGAGCTCGTAATGCTCCTCCGACTTGCAGGAGAATATATGATATATGGCCGACATCAGCATGCACAGACAGAAGCAGACCAGCAAACAGACCACAAGCACCTGATCAGTAACCTCTGCATGCTGGCGCAGAAATTGCAAGTCAAAGATTGTCAGGCCGATGAACAGAATGCAGCCGGCCAAATGACTCCAGATATTGATCTGTTGGCGAATTGAAAAGTAAAATAATAATAAGATGAGTTCAATATGCTAACTGTTAGCTTAGCCAATTCCTTTGCTGCTCAAAGCTACCATAAATAGCTATAATTTATAATAAAACACATTAAAACATGCCTAAGTATTATTGACAGTATATTAAAGCTCTGATGGTATTGTAGTTAAGGCTTAAAGCTCCAGCAACCGTCACAAATTTATAAAAAATAAGATCCACTCATTAGAAATGTGCAAAAAGCCATTTAAAATGACGTGGGCAGAACATTAAAGCTTTCATTCTATTAGCTATTCGCAATGAAGCTTACTTAAAGCTCGATCAAGTATCTAAAAACAAACAAGATATTGGACTATATAAAAAAGGACAAGCCTGAGAGAACAAACACACACAAAAAAGCTTTTATGCATAAGAAACGAGCAATAAGGCTCACTTACAGCTCAAAGCTCACCTAAAGCTCAAAGTTCACTTAAAGCTTAAAGCTCACTTAAAGCTCAAAGTTCACTTAAAGCTCACGTTCTTATTCTTACTTACCGTCTCATTAGTCCACCAGAAAATGCTCTGCAGGCACAGCTTGTTGGACAGGAATGTGCGATAGCCACGTCGAATATACGGATTGAACTTCAAATGACTTGGCGCCTGTGTCAAAGAAATGATCAAAGGCTCGTTAGTTTTTTATGGTATTGCATGGCCAAGCCAAACATCGAATGCATTTTGAATTGAAAAAAGGCACTAAAAAGAATACAAAGAAGAAGATTGCAGGGGCAAACGCTTTTGCTTTGTTGGCCACGCGCCAAATTGAAATGGCCAAAGTCTCAATTACGCAAATACAGCGAATGAATTAAATGTTCATTAACAAGCAAATGTCTGCAAATTGCTTTTATCCGCCGAACGAAGTTCGTACACCCTTTCGTGCTAGAATCATTCATCTTCGGCTTCGAGTCCCTGGCAAGGTGACAAACAGTTAGTTTGCTTTTAATATTGTTGAATTAAAAACAATTCACTTTTTAAACAAAAAATATCTAAGATCTTAAACTTGAAACCTGAAGCCACGCCTTTAAGCTTTACTAATGCAGCCCATCTTTAAATCAAATCAAATGAAAACTGAACTGAACTGTTTTATTTTTAAAATATAATATATGTTAATACTATACAGTAAAGTGTTTTTATTTGAAATTGGAAAGAAACCAATGCGACAAAGAAAGGTTCAAATCGAAACCAAGGGCAAAAGTGTGGGAGACAAGGCCTAGAACCGAGCAGCTGGTTGACGAATCTTCTTTTTGTTGTCCACAGTTAAACTCTTAAGAGTTAAGAGAGTTAACAATTTAAAAACATAACGATCATAATCAAAATCTATCTAACTGTATGTATATATCATTTAATATAGAGTAATGCAGAGAAATGCAGCGTCTTCTTTTGCAAGGTTTATCTGCACGGGTTTCTCTCTTTCTCTCTCTCTCTCTCTTTCTCTCTCCCTCTGTGTTTTTTTTTTTTTTTGCTTTTGGTTTATAATAAAATCGACCTTGATTTAGTTTGTTGGGGCTGTTGTTATTTTGTTATGCTGTCGTTTTCGTGCCTATTTGTATTACGACTATTTGGCAATTGTTGCCACGTTTTGCATTGCTCGGCGTTTTGGCCATTTACAGCACGCACTCGCAAATAGTTTGGGCACACACAGCGAATATGAAGCTAGCTGGCCGAAGATAGTATCTGCCAGATACACAAATGTATCTGGCAATAGCAATAAGCCAAAGAGTTGAATGCATGTAAATTAAATGGCAACAATAATAATAAATAAGAAGGTTGTGTTTAGCTCGCCTTTTGGCCTTCGCAGCGTGGGCCTGTTGCACTGCGAGGGGTATCTGGGCGGGGGTTAGCTCTGCTGGCACTTGGTCTATCAAAATGGCAGCGAGTTGGAGAGATTGATAGACTGAAAGGGCATCCGTGTGGCACTCACATCATCAAAGTTGCACAGCCATTTGAAGTTGGCCAACTTGTCGTCAAAGTCCGGGCCATGTCCCAGCACGTTCGGCTCCTCATTAGCCGGAAACTGATGAGCGGCGTCCGTAGCGAGTTCCGTAGTCAGTTGACCATCGAGCTGAAAGAGTAGAGCAGAGACGCGACGTTGCAAAAATTATTGATTAGCCATGGTTCAAAGTTAACCAGCTCAATTTGCATTCGCTTGAAACTTCCGGCTTCTCTTTTAATCTTGGCTGGAAATTATCTTTCTATCTCTTTCAAGTTTATTCTAAATTCTACTAAAATAGTTGCAATTACTACAAGAACAACAACAACAACTGCGACGAGCCCCAACAATAACAAAATGTGGGGGCTTGACTTTTCAATTTGTTTATCCAGTTTCCAATGCAATAAAAAAGCAACAACAACAAGCAACAGCTGCATGTGCAATTGTGCACGTGTGTGTGTGTGTGTGTTTGTGCGTGTGTGTGTGCTTTTCTTGTGTATGTGTGCGTGCGCGTGTGTGTGAGAGTGCGCTGTAACAGGTTGATGACGTTTTGTTTACATTTACAAATGTTGCTTTTGCATTCTCGAAATGCTTCGAAAAGCTTTTTGCACTTGTTTATGCGTAAGCTGAGACGGCACGAGCCTGTTAACTGTTAAGAAACGACACCCAATGAGAAATGTTAGCACACACACACGCGCAGCTGTTAAATTGCAGAGGCTCGCTTTTAAGGGAAAAGGAAGAAGCTCGTGCAATTATTTATTTCTTTTGTATTTTATTCTAGTAAAATAATTCAATTCTAGTAAATTAAAAAAAAAACTCCCAAAATGTGCAGCTGTATAAAATGTTTGAATGTTGCCGAAAAACTAAACCAACTGTTAAATTTACAGCGCTTCCAGCTAAATAACACTCGAGCCTCATAAAATGCTCAAGTTTCAATATTTACCCACATACACATACACATATATATATACGTTATTTCTGGCTAAATGATTTGACTAACATTTTGTTAAGCGTCTGCTCTGACGCCTGTTTTCCAGGTAAGCACAGCCAGCAGCTGATTGAGTAGCTTTGCAAAGTGCATTATCAGATATTTCAGCATAAACAAATTGCGAAAAAAAAAGCAAAAAACAAATATGTAAAAACAAATTAAAGCTAAAAATCAATGCATTTGCATTGTTGACCGAGTAAATAGATTCGAATGGCGAGTCATTGATAAACAGGATGCGCTTTTAATTTAGACATTGACGTACTTAGTTTCGTAATGTTTGCTGAGTCTGAGCACTAGGGCTTGAATGGGTATCTGTACAAACTTGGATGTGCCTAGGTGTAGTATCTTACATTTTTCTTTTTGTTGCTGCGCCCATTGCGTTTCAATTCTGTTGTGGTTGTTGTTGTGGTTGTTATAACTGTGGTTTCCATATTCAATCACTCGTTGTAGGAGATCACGTTTGTAAAATGGTTTTAAGCGTGGCTAACGTTTTCTTTTTTTTTTATTGATTTTTATATTTGTTGCTATACACTAAATATGCATAGTTTATGGTTTAAATTTCGAAAATGTTTATCGTTTGGTTTTGAACTGCAAACTTTTATCAACTGTTTCGTTCAATAACTTGAACGAAACTAAAACCAACCAAATGCACTGCATACCAAGTTATCCAAAAAAGCTTTGCGCGAAAGCTCAACGCGCGTCGTTACAGCCCGTAAGGGGCGAGAGAGAGAGAGAGCGATTGAGAGAGATCTTTGGGCGCACTTACAACAAAAGCTGTACATGCCCGCGTAAGCTTGAGCAACGCTTTGAATTGAGAGTTATGCGAACTTTCGTTAAGCCGGCTTTGGCGTTTATTTGTTGTGTAATTTTTTTTTTCATTTTCTTGTTCAAGCCTCCTCCTCCCAATTATATAACCAAATAGCAACAAGTGCGTAAGCCTACAAGCTTATGCGACAAGAGACGGATGCATGACTTCTCCTTCCTCTTCTTGTTGTTGTTTTGTTTTTTTGGTGCAACATAAACAAAAACCCAAAACCAGTTTCAAGTTCGACTGAACTTGAGGAAATCTGCGTGAATGGAACTTTCGCAATGCCCTCGAGACAAAAGTACATAAATACATACATACATACATATGCAAGCATGTAAATATGCATATATGTATATGTGCAGGTATGTGCATTATGTAAGCGCACAATGATCGGCAACAGACACCCATAATTGACCTTGACTCCATTTGAAAGCTCAACTTGTGCGCGCGCGCGCGTGTGTGTCTGTGTGTGTGTGTGTGCAAGTTGAGCTCTCGCCGTGAGCATCTCGCTTTGGTATTCAATTCGCAGTACACGTGCTGCACGGTCTATAGCTGTAGTTTCTTATCAGTGCGCTGGCTACTCACCCAGTTATCATCATCCTTTAACACTTTGCGATTATAGCACGATGTTGTTGCGCTGCTCAGCTCCAGATCGGACAGAATTTGAGCTGCCGCCAGGCTCTCGTGTGGGCGTGGACTCATCTTGTTTCAGGCTAACAGGTAAAAGGCAGATTAAATATACTTTATAAGTTACTGCTAAGCTTAACAAAGCTGGCCTGAGACCGGCTGCGTCTCTGTCGCCATTCGCGGAATAGTGTGAAAATCGAGGCAGGCCTCTAAACAAAAAATCTGGCAACTGATGTTTCGGGAATCGAAGAGCTAAACGTTTGTGTGTGCGTGTGTGTATGTGTGCGTGCGTGCGTGCGTGAGTGTGTGTGTGCGCGTGCCCGTGTTGCCAAGTGAGGCGCATTACAATATTGAACCTGATCGCCGCCCTCTGAGCTGCAGTTTAATGAGAACCCGAAAATTTCTAAAACGCAATTCTTACATATGCAAATATGCATATGTATGCATATAAAAATATATGTAAATATCTACGCCATTCCTGCATTTCGCATATACACATGTACATATATATGTATATAAATAAATTATAAATACACGTGAGCAGAGACTAACATAAATTTCTCTTCTTATTGGAAATGTTTGCATAACCAAATTTGATGTAAATATACTTTTGTTGTCTGGCTTTGGCCTTTTAATGCACGTGCGAGCGCAATCAACGTAAAATTGATTTAAAACGACTTTAATTGTTTTTGTTTTCTTTCTAACACTTGGCGAACTTCAATTGATAATGATTTATGCACATTTAATTGCATATACATATGTACGTATTTACATACACACATGCATATGTACATCTACATTCAGATGTCAGCACATACATATGTACATACTTTCCGTTCGAGTCGGCGAGACAGAACAAGAAATTTCACTTGGCGAAACACTCACGAGCCACTCGCGAGACAGCTGAAAGTCAACTGAAGACTGCAGCGGCGCGACTGGGGCGGGCAACTTGCCAAAGATTGGGCCCCAAGCAACGCACACTAACACAAACGCCGGTCGAAAGCGGCGAAAAAAAAACAACGAGAGATGTGGAGAGCAAGATGAAACGTGCGCGAGAGAGTTGCGAAAGGCGCTGTGATCGTTGGCAAGGTCTGCAGAGCGCGCATTTGCACAGTTCCGCGTTTCGTTCATGTGAGAGTCCTAAACGTGACGTCACAATTTTAAGCTTTGCTGGCAGTTGAATTAACAAATGCTGTGACGCAATGCTCAGAGGGAGCTACAACTTGCGCTCACCTTACTATATGTATGTGGCTTTATCGTGAATCGGTAAAGCCGACACAAAAGCTTCACAAAAGTGCGGCGCAGCGCAGTCAACGTCAACTTTGGCTTCGACGTTCAGCTCTGTTTATTAATTGAGTCTCAGAATTGATTAAATGTTTATTTAACATGCTGTAGCTGTTGCCAGCTTCTGAAAGAGCATACATTCCTCACGCATGTTTCTGCTTTGAGTGTATGTGTGTATTTTTTGTGCGTATGTTAAGTCATTGATCAAATTTCTTTTATGCTCAATGCCCGTCCTTTGAGATATTTTACAGTGCCTGCCGTACACATTCATGCAGGGCGCAAATTCCTATGCCCTTCACATTGACCGATTCGTATACTTTCTAGTATATTATACGCTACGCAGTGTGTAACATGCTAAAATATAGATTTCTGATCACACAAAGTATGTACATACATACATATGTATTGCAGATCGGGACGAGAAACCTTAGCTGAGATAATCAAGCTAGTTTTTCTGGCCCTTTCCTATATTCTGATGAAACTTCGAATATGCACGTTTCTTTATAGATATTTTGATCGAGTTCTTCCATAATAAAATATCTTATCGGAATAATAATCGTAATAGTCAGTTACAATTTTAGTTATTCAAAAAAAAGTCTAGTTTTTAATATATTTTAACCAAATTTGACAGCTACGAACTTCACTATGAAACATATAATCCCCATCCTTTTAAATAAATCTAAAGCCACAAGCTACATCATAGATTTCAACTTTAGGAACAAAACGTAATGCGGGACATCAATATCATACACATATACCTATATAAGTATATTCCATTTTAAGGATTCCGTCGGAAATAAGAAATATTCAGAATATTATATCATGCATCGGTTATCGCTATTATGATTTAACATAGCTCGCTTAAGCATAGTAAATTAACTATTTCCAGTTAAAATAAAAATGCACTCAGGTCTTATAAAACGGGTCCTACGAGGTACGAGCTCAGCTTATGAATAGAAACAAAGTCGAGTGGAATATTATAAATTTTGGATTGTTTTCGCTGTATTACGAAACGGATCTATATGCTTCGCTGATTAGTGGCTGGAATTATATATATATCTGCTCAGTTGTTTCCGAGTAGTTCGATTGCCAGGACATAGAATTCTTAAGAAAAGTAGTCAGTGGTATTTAAGTTTGATTTACATCCCATGCGAATTGTAATTATTTAATATTTCATTAAAGCCCTACTTAATAAAAAAATGTTCAGCTCTCTTTTCCATAATGTCGACTTCCAAGAACCAAAATCGTTAAATTCAAATCGAATCTTATATCGAGAAAACGTCCTTGTTTTTATCGCAAAAAGTACAATTGTAATTTCATTTGAATTATTGATATAATAGATGGAGCGTTTGGTATTTCAAGTGCAGGAGGGCGTAGGACAAAAGGGAACATCATTTTCAATATAATCGATATAATCGATATCGATATCGTGATAGAGAATTGAATTTTTGTAATTTTTATTTTTCCGGTTCTTTAAATATAATATAATAATAATAATAATTTTCCAGCTGATCTTTATTTGTAGTTTTGTTTTTAAACTTATTATGTGTGGGATGCTGTGTTGTTGGTAGCTTTCTCGCTTTAAATGTTTATGCTTACATAATTCTTTTTGTTTTCAGTAATTATTATTAAATTATTTTCTCATCATGCTGCTGCTGCTGCTACTGCTGCTGCTGCTACTGCGGTTTTCTCGGCCAAATAAACTTGATGGCGGCAATTTGACAGTTGCTGTTTGCAGTAACTGTTACTGTTGCTGTTACTGTTACTGTTGCTGTTGCTGCTGCTGTTATTGTTGTTGTTGGTACTTTGCCTCCGTTCCACTCATGGCTGCTGCTGCCGCTGCTGTTGTTGCTGTTACTGTTATTGTTGCTGTTGTTGTTGCTGCTGCAGCCGCAGCTCCTTTTGATATTGTTGTTGGCGTTCTTATTGGAGCTGGAGCTGGAGCTGAAGCTGTTGCCGGGGAGTGTGCAGCTGTTGTAACTATTGTTAAATGTTATCTTTGTTGCTGTTGTTGTTTTTGCTGTTGTTGCTGTTGCTGTTGTTGATGTTTTATTTGCTGTTGCTAATTTTGTTATTGTTGTTGCTGTTGTTGTTGTTGTTATTGTTGGACTGTTGTTGCTGCAATCTGGAACGCATCACATAGCATACTTTCTAGTCCACTCCCGTGCCAGCTCATTGTATTTTTCCCGATCGGTTTTATATATTCTGGCAATCTCTGGAACAAGCGGATCATCTGGATTGGGATCACAGAGTAGAGAGCAAATTGATAATAAGACTGCAATCAAAAGAGAAAAACAAATCATGTTAACAAATCCATTCAAACATATACATATATATATATAATCACTTACCTTTTGAAATAGTTAATGCTGGCGACCACTGAGATCTTAATATATCGAGGCAAATAGATCCATTGCTGTTAATGTTTGGATGGTATATGCGTGTTGTAAAGGCCACTTTCGGTGGCTTAAAAGGATAGTCTGTTGGAAAATGTATAGTTAAGAAAAATACACCTCCTTGGTAAGGGCTGTCCGGCTGTGAATATGTTGAAAAACAAAATTAACACTAATTAGTATTGAAATATAACAAAATAAAAGAAAAGTTGACACCAGAAAAAATCGTTCAAAGAGACTACGAAATAATGGTTAAATACAGTCTGAATACAGTTCCATATTTTATCTCGAGATCTACCCTTTCTGATCTTAAACTAAGTACGCCTTAGAACGCGACATCTATGACACAAAAGAATATATATATATAAATATACATATTATCTATCAGGTAGAACCTGTCCTTATTTAAAAAGCGATTCAATGTAAAACCCGCAATAGCTTCAGACTACAAAGTTAATACATTTTGACTAAGAAAGTAAAAACAATCATGAGGAAGCAAAGGTCTGCCTTTAAGCTTTAGCAGCTATAAAGTTAGATATGCCTAATTTAGCGAGTAAAACAACTATATAGCTAAAAGAATAGCTAGATTAGATATAAACAAGTTCGGAGTACATCTGCTAGAAACAGATTCTACTCAGTTGAATAACGGCATGTATTGCTTAGGTATCGATACTGTCTTAAAAGATCCTCTAAAGAGAACGTTCTAGCACTCTCTGAACCGAACCAACATCAGAAACTCTCAATTTTGAACCAGGGAGACGCAGAGTTGTCAGCTTACCGGGCCCATTATTGTAGCTTGCCAGTGAAATACTGTAAATAGAAAGAAGATAAGGTTCGAGTTATTAATATTGGTAGTTATATAATATAATAAGCATATCTCAACCGATGCCACGCCAAGCCACAGATTAGCACAAAACTGCCGCAAGAGGCAGGTGGGGAAAAGGGATGATTACAGCTGTAAGAACAGAACAGTTAAACTAATGCAATTGCTCATTCTCTGCTCTCTGCTGTTCGGTTCGCATGCTCTCTCAGCGATAACCCCGCCCCCGCCGCCACCGCCGCCGCCGCAGCCAGCACAAGAGTTAAGCGAAAAGAACAAAAACAAACAATTGCCAAAGAGCCTTGGCACCGACTGCTGGCAGCGACGTTGCAGCTGACGCTGGCAGCACAAAGAGAACTTGCCGTCCTGCTCGCACCCATTGTACAAGGCTATTGCAAAGCTACTTGCTCAATGTCACACTCAGCCCGAGCAGCTTTTGGGCTGAGAACTGGGCCGACCCGTGCCAGCTAGATAGCGGGGCGGGGTGAGCTGAGGTGGGTTGGGCAGGGCAGGGGATGGGTAGTGCGCGTGTGTGTTTGCAATACAATTACAGTAATTTCATTTATAGAATCGAGTTGGGAGTTTCACCACATAACGAGTCGCTTGTTCAGCCATCGATACATTTATATGTATCGCTTCGGTTATCGATAACAATTGCGGGCTGTTAAATTCTTTTTAATTACATTTTGCGTAAATGTGAATTTCTTTGTTGGAGACGGTCTACGCGCAGAGTTCGACTGTAATTGGTTATCTCCACGTAATTTCTTATACACATAACTGCCCAGCTGATAACGGAGCTCTGATAAGAGCAGCACAGCACGGCGGAAGCGCGGCGTTTAACTGTTAACTGTTCATGACATGGATGCGACTGTTTTATAACTGATAAAATATATATAAATATACGTATGCTAAATAAAATGGGTTATCTTATTATCTGTGCTAATAATGCTGATTATGCATGTAGAGCAATTCCTAATGCAGCCTTATCATTGTTATCAGCACAAGACAGGCGCGGAAATGTTTAGGCATATTCTCTGACTATGTGAATCAATAGAAATAAGTAAGAAATACACAATTGATATTTGCATTTTACTTTCTAATCGAGTCTTTGTCTTCTCTGGTACAGTGATCGCTCGCTATCGAGAGTTGATTTTTGTGTCATTGAAAAACCATTCGTAAATGTATTTAACCCCATATAAAGCAGAAGAAATTTAGCGTCTTCTAAATATTTCAATTACATTCGTAAGTTCACTATGTTATATGGATTAATTCTAAAAGCTTCTACTAACTTAACTCATTTAAGTAGTCCCTTATAGTCCAATTCCACTATTGACATTTCTGTCATTTCTTGCGAATGTAACATTCTTTGCGAATGTGAAGTATGTTGCCTGTATATTTACAGTTTAGCAACGATTTTTTTTTTATAAGAAACCACATTTTTCACATTTGCAAAGTGTTGATATTCGCCCGAGTAATTCGTGTTTTTCGCGTTAATTTATCGAAATTCGTATCGATGCTATCGAAAATATGAAAGTTACATTAAATTATAATTTTAAATTTCACTAATCGCACAGTTTTTAACATTTAAAAACGTCGAAATCTCTCTCGCTAATTCGAGACCGCATTAGTTGACCTTTGGAAGGAAAACCTTGCGGCGCTTAGGTAAATAACATCCAGCCGATCATCTGCTTATTTGAAGAAGCCGCACTTTTGCAATTCATATGTTATCGATAACCGACACAGTCTAATGTAATCGCAGAATGTAAATTTTGTAAATGTACAAATGCTGAGCATAATTGAATCATTCTATTACTTCAGACACTAATTTGTGGACTTGGACCGTAAAGCGTTATAAATCTGTTTAGAACATTAATTTAAATCAGATTGGAAAAAGCTATATTATAATATATTTTATAGCTTTCTTTAAGCTCTTTTTATCAGTAGCTTTGTATAACAAATGTTTACAGCTTTAGCAACCATTTTTTACATTTCTGTTTAACAGCTGTTAAATTAACATTCTCTACTCGCATGATGCCTAAATTCAACTCTATGTATTACTCACACGTCGGCCAGGCAGGCAAAGGCGACCTCAAAAAATAAACCACCTTTAATTACACGATTTCACTTTTAAGTGACGTCATTCAGGTGACCTCCATAGCAAACGAAGCTGGCTTAAACACACGCACACGACACGCACACACATATTAAAAGCGTACCAATGTTTGTGCGAGTGCAGAATTAACAGTAACTGTATAACAGTAAAAACGCACGCGTTAACATGAAATTGAAATCAGAAATTGCAACGAGTCAGAGAGACCAGAAATAGAGACGCGAACTAAGAAACAGTAGTCGCTCGAATGAAAGAACCACATTGAATACCTTATAAATTTGGTCCATAGACATCTTTTAATTTAAGAACATTTAAAATTTATTAAGGAATCGCTCAGACTTAGTAACTTTCTATAAATTAGTATATAAAGTTCTTACAAGGAGCTCGATGCACGTTTCTAATTTGCGAGGGACTACTGTAGAGTAGAAATGAATAGTATACATAAATATGTGCGAAAAACTGCCAAGTCACGTTCTGCAAGTTATGACGTGACGAATCAGATCAAAAGCTAACTTGTCTATAAAGAGAGCGCGGCGTGAACTATTTATAAAGAGCGCAAAGAGAGCAAGCCGAAGAAGAGGAAGCAGAGGGTAGGAATCTACGCATTGGCACAGTTACATAATGCACAGTGTGCTGATCGATGGGCTGGGCAGAACGAGGCGGGGCGGGGCGGGGCGTGATTTGCCGTTATACTCACAATCATCTCCAACTGGTCCAGCTGAACATTGTGCAGGTGGATCTCTGCCCAGATCTTGCAGTTCCTGTTGAAAATAACAAAAACAATAGATTAGAAAAAGGCGCTAGAAATATTTATTTTTATAAAAGAAAGAAAAACAAAAAAACAGTAAATGATTCCTCAAGCGGTCACCTATGCTTCCAGTATTTTTTTTTTGTCCGCATGAAGAAACCCAAAAGAAAATAACATTTTCCTAGATATGTAATTGATAAATGGAAAGAAAATGAAAATGTATATTTTTAGATCGTTTGGAAGTTTCGTGTTTTGAACCAGTTTTTAAGAGCTTCACTGTACTTAAGTATGCAAACATAGAAAATTTATACAGTAATTATATTATATTATATTATTATGCGCATTTCTCAAGAACAACCAAAGTTTTCCTGTTCTTTTGGACTCTGTTAATACATACCCATACTGATATCTACGTGTATTTGTGCATTTTAATGCAGAAATATTTAAAAGCATTTCAATACAGAAATATGAAAATTTTTGTTCGCATCAAATGACGCGAACACCAAGTTCGTTGGCCCGAACCAAAAGACACCAAAAGACAGAACAGCACGCAGCGAGTGACTTGGGGCGCACAAATAGGTGTAAAGTAAACCGGCAAAATAAGAAAAAAAAAAACAAAACGCACACAGAAAAAAAAAAAGATGAGCTGTGCGGAAGGTAGCAAAACGAGAGCCTTGGCACAAAACATACCAAGGGGGGCACATTTAGTGGAGGAGGGGGTAAGAAGTTTAAAAGATGACTGGCTCAGTCGCAGTCGCCGTCGCTGCCTCCAGTCGCAGTCGCAGCATAATCTTTTATTGTTGTTGTTGTTGTGGTTGTCTGGGTTCCCTTTGACGTACGTTGAAATATCGGACGACGTAAGAAATACGCAAAACACAAATGTGGCGCATTTCAAAAATATCTGCAGTTGACATATGTGCTTTTTTTAGGTACTGCCACGCACTCTTCGGCTAGTACCTGTTGAGCAAAAAATAGTTACAACAACCACAACAACAACGAAAAGAAAGGCAGACGAAAAATGTTACAAAACGAACGTCAGACGCGAACGCCAAGTTCGAGGGGACTTTCAATGCGGCCGACGGAATGACTCATGCATTTCCAACAAAGACGCGGTGACAAGTGATAGCGTATTGCTTTATAATTCAAATAATAACAAACTAACGGTCACTCGCACACAAGTAAACAGACACACAGACACACAGACTCATGGATTGATCGGCGAGCGCGTGTGAGAGAAAGAGAGAGAGCAGAGGAGAGTACGGCTTGAAACAGCGGGCATCGTCTTTTCTTTCTTTCCTTTGTTGTATTAGTACAATTCATTTTTGGCAATTCAGGCCAACTGACAACAACAACAACAACAACAACAACAAACAGCTCAATCAGCGAAACCTTGGCTATGCTGGAGACAAGTGCGAAAGAGAGAGGAGGGGGAAACCAAAACAGTTTCCTGCTAATTGTAAGTTGTTGGTTGTGTGGAAGGAGGGGGGAACATATTACATAAAGATACAAATACAAGAAATAAAATTAACATTAATTCATTTAGCATTACTGGCTCGGCTCTTCCTCATTTTCAGTAGCATTTCGTTTTCATTTCATTTATATACGTATCAAAGTTTATAACAAAAACAGCAGCACCAAAGGAAAAATTCAATGGCCATGACGCTCGCGCTTCGTGACGCTGCAGACGTCAACGTCGGCGTCGCTGCTTTTGTGGCTCGAGCAGTCAGCAGACCCCCTCCAACACAAGAGCAGACATTCTGCTATAACACACACAAGCATTGTATATATATATTTATATATATATATATATATATTTATATATATATATATATATATTTATATATATATTTATATATATATATATATATATATATGCTTGCGTGTATGGCTTATTAGCAACAATTTACATATTTTACTGTCGCATACAATATTTAAAATTAAATTATGTTAAATTATATTTTTATAGTAATTATTGGTGCTCAACATGTCAAAGTGTTTTTCAACACTACACTTAGTTGCCATCGCACACACACACACACACAGCCACGCGCGCACGCACACGCAGACACCCTCTTAGCACTGCCCCATTCGCTTAACATCAGCGCGCAAGAAAGAGCCAAACACTGTGTATGACCAAACGAGCTAGCAGCTGCCGTTGACTTTACCCAGCACTCTTTGGGCGTCTCATGGGGGTGTGCGAGCGAGATGGCAAACTTAATATACTGCTGTGCGCTGGCTGTGACTGTGCAAAGACTCCAAATGCATATAAGTGTGTGCGTGTGTGTGTGTTGATGGGGGCTACGACGGCGAACCGGCCGCACTCAAATCGAACTGTAATTGTCGACTTTTATATTAAATCGCTTACAATAGAAATATAATAGACTATTTGCGAACAGTAAAAGCATAAATATGAATAAAGCTAGCTTCAATGCGAAAAAATGGTGACTCGCCGTTCCCTTGAGAGCGAGCGAGTCAAAAGCAACAGCAGATGGGGCAACTTTTAACGAACGGACACTGAAACAGAAATTCCAATGAAAATTAACATGCGACTGTAATGCACATTAAATTGCTTGAATATTAAATGCATTCGGGCTGGCCCATTGGCAACAAGGATAGCGAGTAGCCAGGAACTTTTAGCAGTTAGTCACTGCAAAAATAATTATTGAAATTTACTTGCTTTCGCGCACACACACACACACAAACACAGTCGGCACATTGATGCAATGTGCATACATACATGCGTGCAAGTATATATACATACATACATATGCTTGTGTATATATAGAGGCAGGCAGGCAGCACTATTTCTGAATTATCAGCGCAAAAAGTAAGGTTAGGTTAATTTTATACGCTTTTACTTCATGTATTCGCCGTGTTTTATTTTTTGCTGGATCTTTCTGTGGCGCTGGCACCAACAACACACACACATACGCACACAAAAGCATAAGCGCGTGTGAGTGCCCTGCAATACACACATATATAAATGTATATATGTATATATATATACGTATATATAAATACAGCAGCGTGTATTGGGTAACACAACGGAGCCCGAGCGCGGCGCTGAGTCTCTGCTGGCCAAAAGCAGCCCAGATGACGGCGGCGTTGACCAGGTGCCCGGCTTGAATGCATGCACATGCACACACACACACAACCACCCGCACAACTGCACTCGTATGCACACATACGCAGGCACATTAACTGTGTAACGGAAACAACGACTAATACAAATGGCCGTACACGTTGCCCGTCGCCTTGCCCAGCACACATAGACACACACACACACACTCACAGGATAGATGTCCAGCCAGTTCTAATTAGAATCCCATAAAAAGCTCAAGCTCTAAATAGTTAGCTTTTACGTCAATCATCAACTAAAAACTAAGCCTAAAACTTGTTTCTCTTTTAGTTTAAGTTGTAATTAATGCACGTCGTCATCGCCCATTTTTCCTTATGCTTCTTTTGCTTTTTGCACGTTTTCTTTCGCTCACGTATTCGGTTCGGTTTTTTTTTTTGTCTTTCTTTTCTTTGTACATTGCCGTTGTCGTACCTACGTTTCACATTTCTTGCATAAATTTTTTTTTTGTCGCACAAGAAATTTTCACATTTTTTTCTTTTCTATTTTTTGTTGGTACAAATCGAAACTTGCACTTTTGAAATGCATGCTAATGCCAAAATGCTTTGTACAATTTGATTTGATTATTTTCATCGTTTTTTCACATACCTTATTGATTCTTTTTAACGCCATTTTCTGATTGAAATTTGATTTTCTTGTGTGTGTGGTGTTTGTGTTGGTGAGTGTGTATTGTTGTACGTTTCTTTTTTGCTTTTCGATTACTTTTTGTTCTTTGTCGATTTACACGAAACGAGAAATTGATTGTAAATTATTGAAAATGCTATAGAAAAACCAAACGAAACACAAAAGCTGCGGTAGGCTTTATATTTTCACTGTGTTCTGGCTATTTTCTGCTCAGCTTTTCTCCGAGGTTACAGTCTAGAAATATTGCAGCACTGCGAGTAGAACGGCGCCCCGACGACAACTACGGCTGCGATATTTTTTGGTGCTCAAAGCGCCGAGCGGATGTGAGTGAGACCGACACGATGACTAACAGCGGACAAAACGATTGACGTTCCAAAGTGCGCGTGTGTGACAGAGACGAGTTTAGTGTTTAGTAAGTGTCTAGGTGTTGTGAAACGTGTAATTTTAGCCAACACTCGTCAAAAGAGCAGCACAGCTATCTTTATCATACAGTTTACTGACTGGCCAGATCGATATTATCTGCAAAAAGAGGAGAAGAGACTATTTAATCCATGTGGCAACTCGAAATGGCACTAATTTAGTTTTTAAATAAATTATTTACTTACGTTGAGTGACAGCAGCAGCAGATAAGCGTTATGGCGAGGCAAGGCGAAATGGAAAAATGGTGTCTCGTATGGAAATTTAGCAATCGAAAATCAGCGTCAAAACTGTAAGCGAAGGCACAGCGAAAATTACAACCAACAAAAACTGTTTAAACCGGCGGCGACGCAATTGTGTATGTCCGCTGCGTTTTCTGTCTGCGCGCACTAAATGCTGTTAATTAATTGTATTCATGAGCACACAACGTGTTGCTTGCTGCCGGAATGTTTTTACTGACGAATTTTGATGGAGTTGTCCTATGTATGTGCTAATGTTTGAACAGCTACTCTGTTTGAAAATTTGATATGGAAATCCAATTTCGACCAGCTGTTGGTATTTTTTCAAATATTTTGGTATTTCAATAAAACGAGGTTATTTTCAGTGTTACATTTTTATTAGCAACTGGGTTGCCAGACTGCTTACACTATTGGTACATTTAACACGCTGATATAGCAGATATTGCCACTTGTGAAGTTCGGCCACACTCAACTGTCTGCAAATTTAAACAAAAAAAGGAAATTAGCGAGCAAACTTTACATGAATAAATCAATTCGGTTAATTTTTGAACAAACGGAACGCGTCAGTTTTGCACGTTTCAAAGCGGCAACACGTTTCGTATATAATCAATTTAAGTAACACGGCTGCGGCTACAGTTTTTTTACAGTTGTTGTTGCTGCCGATTTGCGAAGCGACAAAGTGCTCGTGTGTGTGTGTGTGTGTATGTGCGTCTGTTTGTGCATATATATTTATATATATATGTGTGTGTGTGTGTGTGAAGATAATTTAGTTAGAGGTCATTTCTATGCGTAAGCATTTGCAACATGCGGCAGCCAGTTGTTGATAGTGGGACCGTTGTCTTAAAAAAAAACACGCGCCGCCATAACAAAGGACGCTCGCAGCTGTACGCCCACGTCCACGCCCACTGTAAAGCGCGCAGCAGCAGCACCAGCACCGACAGCTTTGTTTTATAGTACGCGCAGCCATGCCAACGACAACAGCAACAACAGCTAAAGCAGCACCAGCAGCAACAAAATCCACAACAGAAGAAGAAGAAGAAAATTGCGATACGCTAATGGCGTCCGCAACAACAACAACAACAACAGCAACAAAAGAGGAACAGACACCACCAGCGTCAGCGTCAGCGTCAGCGTTAGCATCACTGCCGCAGGCAGCTCCTGATGCAACGCTAACTGCAGCTGCGCGGTCAACGCCAACGCCCACGCTGCTTCCTCTGCTGGCCTCGGCAGCCGCTTGCAATAAACAGTTGCTGTTCTGCCGGCGTTTTAAGGATGCGTCCGCTGGCGGCGTCGACGGCGCTGGCTTTTTACGTAACTTCAACTCGTTGCCGCTGTTCGTCTACGCAACGTCTCCGTCGACGCACGCCAGTTCTGCGGATGGCGTCGGCGTTGCCAAGGAAGCAGCAGCCGCTGCAGCAGCTGCGACGGCGTTCAGTCAAAAGGTAAGCTAAGCTTTAATTTTCTCTCTCCGACTCGCTTCGCTCTCTTCCATTTTAGTCGTTCTCTTTGTTCTTGAATTGCATAATTGAGCATTTCCGTTGCTTTTAAGGGGTTGGCGGCTGGCAGAGTGATGTGGTGCGGGTGCGGGTGCGGGTGATGGGGGGTAGGTTGGTGCAGCCATTGATCGTGCCGTATCTGTTTTTTTTTTTGAAATTTATTATTATCTGTTTTATGCTGTGCGTTCTGCTTGGCTGGCGTTGCGTCTCTGCACTTGTCGGTCTCGCCCGCCCACCCACGCTTCCCCAACCACCCAACCGCACTTTCTGCGTCGGCTGCGTTTGCGCGGAAATTACTGTTCTTGTTGTTGTTTTACGATATCTAACCGCTGCAACAGCAACAGTTCAGATCGCGCCATTTTATGTATAATATAATTCGTGGCTAGCAAAAAAATGCGTTATTAATGTTAAAAACAAAAATTGTTTTCGTTGTTTTAGTATTTTGTATACCCTGTACCCATTGAGAAATATAGGGTATGCCTCTGAGCTTATAAGAGGTAGATACCACAATTGAGTTACAAATATTCGTACGGTACTCGCAAGTATATTTGACATTGTGTGTGTGCTGGGTACAGGGTATTTGGCAGTCGGACACCCACGACTGGAGCACTCTCGACTTGTTGTTATTATTGCTGTGGTGGTGATCGCTCAAACGTGTCGAGCCGTCGTCATTAATGAACCCCACAGCAGTCTCAGCCTGAGCGTAACTGTGCTTTTGTCTCGTGTGTGCGTGGGTGTGCGGGGGTCTGCGGGGGTGTCCGTGCAATATGCTATGAATATGCTGTCTACAGGTGCAGCCATTGACTGGGGTTCGTGCCTGCTCTCCTTTTGTTTTTGATTGCGGTTCGTTCTCTCTATCTTACCCTCTCTCTCTCTCACCATCTCTCACTCGCTCTCTCTCCATATGCGCTTCACTTATGCTGTGCTTGTTGATGTTATTGTTGTTGTTGTTGTTGCTGTTGCTGCAGCTCAGTGACTTGTGACGTGCGCGCGCTGCTGCTCATAAGCTTCATTAACAGAATACACCGCAAAGGCTTTTGCCAATCGGCAGCCATTTTGTTTTATGCGCTCTCACTGCGTCTTGCATACAGTTAACCGAAATTCGTCGAGCTTTCTGTGATCGCACACATTTCCTCCTTATTTTTTTTTTATCACTTTCTACGGCAAAACAAGCTGCGCCCTAATTGGATGCGATGTGTGGGCAAGTGGCTCTCAAGTCTAGCTTTCCCTTTCCCTCTCGCTCCCGTTCTCTCGCTGTCTCACTCTAACACGCCCTCGTAATGCAATTACCTAGCATTTTGTCCCCCTTGCAGGCCGTTGTTTATATTTCAAATTTAAATCAATTTTGTTTCTGATTGCAATTTAAGTAGCTACAAGCGTTCGCTGTCGCCCAACCCTTGTCACAAATCACATTTTTTCCAACTATTGTTTATGTTCATTGCAACCATATGTGTAGTGTGTGTGTGTGTGTGTGTGTGTGTGTGGTGCATGTGTGTGTGTCGTCTTCTCAAATTTTCATTGTGCATTCGAAATGAATCTGATTCAAAATGTATTTTTATGGCTCATGTTGTGTGAGTTATCAATTGCTGTGGGCACTTTTTTCTTACAGTTGTGTGTATACATATACACTCAGAGAAAAATCTAGAAAATATCACTCAAATAAAGTGGAACATATTCTCGAAATCCGGCTGAGGTTGAAATTTATGAGGCCAAGAATCAAATCCTCATTTTCATTTTTTTTTTTATATAAATAACTTACGTACATTTTTTCTGAGTGTATGCTATGTGGATCATTTGATATGCCTACACATAACGGCGACTGCGCCCTGGGCGGGCTCCACCCCTTTCCCACGCATGTTAAACTATTTTGTTTACATTTTTTACGATCAATATTTGTATTCAAAATGCCGAGAGATGTTTTCTTTTTATCTAGGAAAATCGGGCAGCTGATTGTAAACGGCTATTGACCTGCAAGTACCAAATAAATCGCTCCATTAAGAATATGCCTGTTTTAAGTGAGTTTTGGGTAAATTGAACTATTAATTTTTGTTCTTTTTCAAAATTCAATAATGCGTATTCTTTTCTCAGAGAAAAATCTCTTTACGCTTTGTTGTTATATTGTCGCTGCTCTTAAAAAGCTCTGGGAAAGTATTAAAGCTGCTAAAGCTCATCTAAATCTTTCGATTCACCACGAAAGTATTTGGCATTAGCTTTTAAACCGCTCGAAAAGCGGCTTGTATCTTAGACTCCTGCTGCAAAATGTGAACTCTTGAACTGCAGATAAGCACTTATAGATAAACTTTTTTATGAGTTTAATTTTGTTCTACTGCTTAAATCCAGTTGCTGTAGTTTGTTTATTTTCTTATTTATTGATAATTATGGTATATAAAATAGGAATAAAATGCAATAAAAGTGTTCGAGTGACTGTTTTGCTTATCAAATTTACATAAATATCAAACAAAATGCGTGCCATTAAATGCTTGAAGTGACTGCTTGCACCCTTCCCGCAGCCCCCAACCCCAAGCCCGAAATAGGGACCGGTACAGGTCATTGATTAAACGTTCTAGAGCTTTGCTATTGGCAGCGCCAGCGTCGTGATGGCAACGATGCGTTGTTTGTGTTGTGTCCTTCACGTGTCCCACTCGCACAGCTACTGGCCCCCCTGTCTTTCGCTCTCCCTCTCTCTCTCTCTCTCTCTCCGTGTGTCTTTAGTTGCGTGTAATTAAGCAGCTAGAGATAAGAGCCAAGTGGACAGTGGGTCAATTGTGTGTGTCTGTCTCTCGTGTCGCCTTTTGTCTTCTCTCCGGTCTAGACGAGGCGTCTATTGCGGCATTTGTTTTGCTTTGCTGCACTTGTTGTCGCTTCCATTGGAGTTGCAGTTAAAGCTAATGAGCTAGTTGGTCAGTTTGTTTTGTTCTGTTCTCGTGTGTGTGTGTGTGAAGTGCGTTACCCTTTGCCACACTTTGTGGCGTGGTTTCTTTTGATTTCTGAAAAGCGCTTAATTACCTGCTAATTGATAAGCTTGTGCCGCGTAATTGTTTGTGGTCTTTGTTTACCTACAAATTAGATGCATAAACAAATAAAAAGAAACACGTTAGAAATTGAAGCATTACAGGAATATCCAAAAGATACAAATGCATCTGGCAGATACAAACAACAAGCGGCTGCGTTGTGCTGTTGCAGCTACTGTTAATGGCTATGATACTCTCTTTGCGGCTTGCTTTCTCTCTCTGCATTCAGCGCATCGCACTCAACAGACCTTGCAGAACTTCTAGCATAAGCAACTCAAGCGCTAGCGCTCTCCCATTTGCGTCTCTCTCACTCTCGCTCCCTGACGTTAACTACCATTCGTGTAGACCGTTATGAGTCATGCTTAGCGCTAACATTGGCTAGCCCTAGTTCCACTCAACGAAATTTCACTCGCGATCCCTCAGCTGTATGTGTTAACAGTGAGCGCAAATGATAACACTACGTGCTAACATGTGAGCACAACAGCCATTTTGAGTATAACAGCGTGTGCTCTGTAAAACAACTAATGTATGGAAACAATTTAACAGCTGTTGTTGTTTGTATTGTAAAATTTGCCGTTGAAGCGTGCGGTTCGGTTTGCGTTGCGTTCGCGTTACGTTCAGTTTGGATTGCACTAAATGTATCTGTCAGATACACGCGTCTTTATACTGGGTGCTGATTGTTCTTGTGTGTTTGTGTGTGCGTGTGTTGCCACAAAAAGAGCCTTAAACAGTTGTTGCTTTTGTTTTTTTCTTGCTTCCTTGGGTATTTTTTTTCGCCCAACTTTGCCACTGAATCATCAGCTTTTGTCGTCGATTTACGTGTCGTTCGTTCGTTTGAATTCGTCGAACTGAAGTCGCGCTTCGATCGTGCTCTACATAGCACAGATGCAATAAATTAACCTTTCTACTAAGAATATCACACACGCAGATACAAATATATCTATATAAGTGCGTGTATCTATGCGCGTCAATTCCCATTGACAAAGGCATATCGCAATTCTGCTTTCAATTTAAATATTGTTAATGTGCATATTATGAAATAACAAACCGCAAAACCGGTCAACATCTATTTGTTAAACAAGAAAAGGTGAAATTTTTTGTGAATTTGTTATGCAAATCGAATGCAAAATATTTGCAAGTGCCGATGTGACTTGTGACCACATCCCTCAGATACAACAAAACATAAAATAAGCAACATAACATAAAAAACATAGCTCAGCCGCGCTCAGCATTCATTTGGATTAATTGAATTTTGCTTTGGGTACCTCCCCGTCTACTGAGACCCGTTTTAAATGAGATCAACTAGATAAATGGTGCGTATCTTGAACTAAACTTAATCAAACCGAACCAACTCACAATACTCTTCCCCAACACACTCGCTCCCCTATCTGAGACGTTTACAAATTGACATTTTTCCACGTAGTCCGCAACGCAGCAGCGGAAGTTGAACGCGTTTCAAAATGATTTCTTGATAAATAGAAAAAAGAACATCAAAGCGTATATGCTTTATGGGGCTTGTGGGCGCAGTAGAGCTCTGATAATACCTAAGCTGATTAAATTATCATGATAGATATTATAGATCTAAGACTCAGATATCGCTTTGAATGATCTTTTGAAAGTAAAATTATGATTCACAAAACTTAGACAGTCACATCTCGTAATAAAATTTATCGATTTCTTTTTAAGCTGCAATTCCATTTAAATTTGAAATCCATTAACTCAGATATTGATTGGAATATTAGTTCGTTGAATTCTATATTTTCTCGATTAGGAATATCTTCTAGCACGTTTTCATAACTCTTATTGGGTCTGGACCTTCATTGATTACATTTGAGTTAAATATTGAAAATGCAAACACTTTTTTTTATCAATCTAGGCTTAGAATAAATTTGGCTTTAAACAAGATTCGATCGTTAATTCCTCAATTGGTTAGTT